AGGTAATAATTAGAGAATTGTGTGGTCTTAAAGTGGGAACAAGTATTTTTTAGTAATTTAGAGTATTTTTTAGTAATAAATTAAAGTAATAATTTACATCGAAAAGTAAATCTATAAAAGCTTTGTTGTATTGAGGTTGCACAGTGATGGTTGGAGTGTTGGTATTTGGGCCTGTTTAATTTTAACAGAGTAGATGTTGGTAATATTTATTATCAGCCTGAATCAACCAACATATAAAGAGATGCTAGAGAACTGCATTGTTCTCTAGAAGCATATAGAGTTGGCCAATTTTCCTCAATTTTCGTACAGACATTTTTTTAATTTAAAAATTGTGTACAATAACCTGAGGCATTGATGCAGTTTTCAAATGTATAATTGATTTTTTTTGTTGTTGTCAACGAATTTCAATGGTCTTTGACCACCAGAGAAGCCTTGATCACCAGAGAATTTTTATCTTAAAAATTCCACAAGGTGCTTTTGTTAATACCTGCTTTGTTGATTTCTTTTTGCAGTGTTTTGAAATACTTTTTCTTCTATTTTTTGCATTTTTATTTTTGTGTTTAACTCGCTCAAGGCACAGCAAGGGGCGATGAGGAAATCCACCAGAGTGCTAGGGGTACCAGTTGGATTTTTTATATGTGATACTTTTGGACATTGTTTAAATAATGGATAACTTTCCAATGCTCCAAACTTGTTATGTTCATGCTTAAGTCAAAATAACACGTTTTAGCAGTGATTGAATTGCAGTGAAAAACAGTGAAAAATTGCAGTGATTGAAGCCTGTGATCGAGAATACCCCAAAATGTTAGAAACTCCCCCTCCCAAATATGAGGGCAATTAGTCTAAAAAGAGATTTTTGCTGTTATCTTATACTAAATTTACTTTAATCAAATAATCTTTCATTCTCTGAAAGTTTCTACATTTTCTGGAAATTTTTTCTCATTTTTCACTCTTCGATAAGGTCTAAACAGTCTTTTTCTATATCTCTGGTGTTTACAGTCGGATTTTAACTTTTAAAGTAGCTACAGAATTATCTTAAAAATTGAGTTAAAGTTTTTTTATATTTGAGGTTTAACTGCATTTATTATCTTTTAATAATGCCAGAACATAAAAAATAGTTTTAACACAAAAATTCAAAGAGAAACTTTTTCAAAATCAGTTTTCTTCTGTCTCTTTCTTGTACTCTTGAACTTGTTGGCTACAAGGAAAGTGTGTCTTAGTAGGATTTGTTGATCAGCTCCTAGCAAAAAGTTATGTAATATGTTTGGTTGTAAGTTACTTTATTATTGCCACTTCAGGTTTAAATAAATCTTTTTTGATAAACTTTTTGAAAGTATACCTGAACAAGTTCAGGTATATATTTTTAAAATTTCAAAGCCTTTTTGCTACAATTATTGCATTTATCAATCAAAACACTTATCCTTATTAAAATTCAAAGTGGACTAAAATACTCTTTTCTATTGAGGAGAATAGAAAATCTCCTCAATAGAAAAGAGTATTTTAGTCCACTTTGAATTTTAATAGTCAACCAACCTTTATTTAGTTAATTATTTAACTAATTTATTAGTTAATCAACCTTTTCCACCATCATGATCAAATAATCTTTGTATATTTTGCAAAATATTGCATTAACATTTATGCTTTCATGTGCTTCAGCTTTGATTTCCCGGAAGTTTTACAACATCAGCTTTTTGCCATTTCTATATTATTTTTTTTTAAACATCTTCGCTTCCAACAAAGCTCCAAGCAACCAATAATTAGAGTTGGAAGTTACTGGAAGAGAAAAGATAAAGATTGTAGAGCAAGATAATGATTGACAGACGACTTAGAAGATTGCAAGTTATATGAATTAGGAAAGCAAGATGAAGGAAGCGAGTTCCAAAGAACTAATGTTCGAAGAAAAAAAACTAGTGGAATAAGAGTTTTTGGAGCACTTAGGAACAGTCACAGAAAAAAGATGATACTTAATTGAATGATGAGTAACACGAGAATGATTTTTAGTAGATGGCACAAGAGACGCTAGCCAGATTTGAGATTTATAGAGATAGAGAATAGTATCCCAAGCAAGAAAGTGTCAAGCTCGATAAAGAGATGCAACTTTGGTAGATGCTAATTTTGCAACAAATTTGATATATGGTTTCCAAGAAAGATCAGAAGTAAGAGTTAATCCTAGAAGATGAATGGTTGGTGATTCATTGAATACATTGCCATTCATAAATATAGAAAGGTCTAAATTATTGTGATAATGATTGGCTGAAAAAAACTGAGTTTTATCTGAATTAAAGTTCACCAACCACTGTGAGCCCCATGCTGTAGCAGAAGTAAGATCCTTTTCATGCTCAAATGCCCCCTCCCAGCAATCAGAGAGTGTTGGTTTTTTATCGTGACAAGAATAAATGGTAGTATCATCAGTGAACAATGCCACCTTAAATGTGAGAATATCTGGAAGATCGTTAATGTAAATTAAAAAGAGTATAGGGCCTAGGATTGAACCTTGAGGAACCTCTGAGGTTACGGAATAAGAAGAAGAGTCGTTTCCATCGAGGACAACTTTTATACCTCCATTGGAAAGGAAGGATTCAGTAATCTTAAAGATGTTTCCAGATAGACCGTAAGAAGAAAGCTTAAGAAGAAAGACCATAAAAAAAAAGACCAACATGCCAAACTTTATCAAGTGCTTTAGAAATGTCAAGAGCAACGGCCTTAACCTCCACCTTTATCTAATGCACAATAAAACCTATCAGTTATTACTGTTAGCAAATCAGCCGTAGAATGAGAACATCGAAATCCATATTGATGATCAAAAAGTAAGTTATTAGATTCAAGATGAGAGATTAGATTGTTTGTTAATTAAAGATTCAAAAGCCTTGCTTATGATAGGAAGAAGACTAATGGGACAGTAGTAAAAAAAAAATCAGATCGCTTTCCAGAATTTTTGAAAATAGGAATAACAGATGCTGCTTTCCAGCAGGCTGGAAAACAAGACTCTGATAAGCACTTGTTAAATAGTTTTAAAAGTATAGTCGACAGCTCTGGAGAACACTTCTGCAAGGCTATACCAGGTATGTTGTACGGGCCATAAGCAGTAGAAGAGTCTAGTAGGAAATCACTTTAGATACAGACGCTGGATTGATATGAATGTCAAGCAATGGATCAACCTGTTTGATCAGGTAGAACGCAACTAGTGGAATCAAGAGATGATATTGATAAAAAGTTCTTAGCAAACAATTCAGCTTTATCTTAAGGTGAGGTGACAAAGTCTGAACCATGCAAGAGAGGTATTTAAAGTTAAAGATTCTCCAGAAGTCACAAGAACCTAATTTTTAAATGAAATGCAAGATTTCATGACCTGAAATCTTGTATTTCATTTAATAGCAGGCTGTGTCATTAGACAAAACCTTTTTACAATGGTTCCTAGCAGTAATAAACAGACGTCTGTTTTCTGAAGAATTGTTTTTGTTGATAGATATGGAAGTAATGGTTTCGATTGGCAATTGCAGCAGCACAATGTGAGGAAAAACATGGAGAAGAGTGAGGCTTGACCTGGATTCATCGAGAGGGAATAAAGGGTTCCATGCCAGCCTGAATCCACAAAGTTATGTAAGAAGCGCATTTGTCAACAGGAAGAGGAAAGATTTCTACCCAAGGGCCATCACAAAGAAAATCACAGAAAGAGTCCCAGTCAGCTTTAAGGTAGTTGTAAGAATGTATGATATAGGGGGATTCTGATGATAAAAAAGATTAAGATATTAGTTTTAGAGAGACCAAACTGTGATCAGAGGCATCTAAGGGTAAATGTGGAGAAACTTAGCACTGACTAGGATCAGAAACAAGATTATTTGAATTAGGGATTGAGTAAGGCAAAAGTTGTGGACTTTAATGCCTGCAGAGTCACTGACACTAGAGCTAAGTCATTCAGTGTGATGAACATTATAGTCACCAACAACAACAATATTGGCTGATGGATAAAGAGAGAGGGCTTGGTCAATATGATCAGAAATAATGTCAAGAAGAGTGCAGTCTTGAGATGAAGGAGAGCAATATAGAACAAAGAGAAAAGTGATAGAGTGAAGTGGTGCTAAACGAAAGCACATAAAAGAGAAGTCTGTGGATTCAAAGCTAATTTCCTGACAAATGGGTGAATTCCTACGAATGTAAATGCCCAGACCAATCATGTGGCTATTGGAGTCTTTACGAATTAAAGGAAGATAACCATCAATACTAAGATCACAAGATGAGACACCTGAACTCAAATTAGTTTCACAAAGAGCAAGTAGGTCTAGTGAACTTTGCAAGAGATAAGACTCAACAGAAGAAAAATTACTTCAAAAACCACAAACATTAGTGAATGATAGGTTTATAGAATTTGGTGATGGCAATGGTTTTTTGTGTTTTATATTTTTTGTTATTAATTCATTTTTATATTTGTTAAAGAACTTCACTCAAAGCATAGACAGAACTCAGTACACTGTTTAATAGCCCAAGCAATTGCCTCATTACTATTAATAAACCCTAAGCCGTAACAACATACAACACCCCCTGCCTTGGACACCCCCTGTCTTGGACAACGACATAAAACAACCCCTGCCTTGGAGCCCCAAGGCAGAAATTAAGAGCCCTAAATCTGACAAAAAATAAAGTTAATACTAAACAATAAATTTAAATTAATAACTGATTTCAATACAAATGATAAAAACCAGCTACTTGATTCAAAAAAATGTAATGCATTGGCGTCTTTTATAACCAAAATCTATTTTTTTTTAAATTGTGTAAAACAAAATGTGTAAATAAATGTCAAATTAAACTTACTTCAATTTAATGATCCCATTCATAATTCATAACATAATTTTATTACATTCAATTTAACAATTGAATGTAATTCTATTTGAATTTAATAAAAATTAGAAAACCCTTAAGAAACTTTTTGTTTTTTTGCAAAAAAACAAAAATTCTATTTGAATTTAATAAAAATTAGAAAACCCTTAAGAAACTTTTTGTTTTTTTGCAAAAAAAATAAACTTGATTTGTAGAAAGAAAAAATAATGGTAATCCTACAGTTAAGCCTAAAATATTTTTTTGCTTATTATGCTGTATTATCACTTCCGTGGAGCTTTTTTAAAAATAAAAGAATATTTATTGGCTTTAGTATGTTCATTGACTATCTTGCTGACTAGCCTGCTGCTGTAAGGGTGGCTGCTACATCAGCTGAGTGTTTGGCATGAGGCAGCAACCTTTAACTTTATTACGAAGATCTTTTCAATCTAAAGTCAAACGTGACCGATGCGACATGGCTGCTAAATTATAAAATCAGTACTGTAATAGAAAACAGTTTTATTTTTGAAAAATAAGTTTAAGTTATTGGCAAAAAATTATTAAAATAAGGTAAATATTTTTGCCTCTGCACTTTTTTTACCTTGGCATATGCTGAGTGCCGAGAATAATTTATATACACGCACCCTTACTTTTGCACTTACTTGAGCAAAATCTTTACAATTATTTTGCAAAAATAAGAAAATAAAAAATAATAATAAAAATAAAAATGGTTGGTTCAAATCCTTTTTATCCTATCCAAATCCTATGTTGATGTAGCAGCTTTTCATGTTCTCCCTTGATGGTCAATCAATGTATGTATTGAAGCCCTTGTAACTCTCTATTTCACTATAACATCCATTAGATTAGCTAACCACATAATACTATTAGTGTGTATATATATATATATATATATATATATATATATATATATATATATACATATACATATATTCATAAGAAATTAATACATTACTGTTATTAGTGTGATGGTGTATATATTAATTAAGATATATACATTTAATGTATATATCTTAATTAGTATATACACCATCACACTTATAACAACACAATAATAATTAATGACATTAGTTATTGTGTTGTTATTATTGTTAATTTTAAATATTTTTAGATAATATTTCAAGTGACAATTATTCTTACTGGCAATTATAATTTTTTCAATGCACTTACTATTGTATTATGTATAACATTACTTGATGATGAATATATTGATAAAATTGCACCAAGGTTTTTAAGTAAGTTTTTTTTTGTTTTTAACCATGTGTTTTCAAAATATAAAAGATGTTTTATGCCCAAAATATAAAAGATGTTTTATGTCTATATTAATATTTGGAGTTTTTGAATGATAAAAACATAAGATATTTTATGCCTTCAATAATATTTATTATTAAGAAGGATATTGTATGCCTTCAAATTGTGTTTAAGAAACAACATAGCAAATTTTAACATATAATATATAAATTATTATTAAGATATTAAAATATTTAACAAAAGACTTATCAAGTGGTTTTGTAAGTCATTAGTTTTAAATATTTTATTATCTTTTTTATTGTATTTTTTGCTATTTTGTCAAAATAAAATAAAAACTTTAATTATATTTTTTTTACTGTTTATATTTGTATATTAAATTAAATAAGTTTTTAAACCTATGAAGATGACTAGAAACTAGTCGAAACATGTATTGTTTGTTTAATTTGTTGAAAGTTTTTATAAGTGGAAAAAATTCTTACTTTTCACTTTTTTTTCAGGATATCCAGAATCATTTGCTAAATTACAAAAAACTTCAAGAATTGTTTCCATTATTTCTTCATTACTATCCTTTTTTATTATTTACTCTCTTATTTATTTCACCAAAAATTTGTTTAACTTAAAATTAAAAAATGGAGAAATAAATTCAGAAATAGGTTAGTAAAATTTTTTTCCCTTTAAATTAGATTAATTTATCAGAAATCAGAAATCAATTTTTTTATTTAGTATTTACAAAAGAAAAGTTTTTAAAATTTGTGGAAGTTACTACAAAAATTGGAATTGGAATTGGAATTGTGTGTTTTATGTTGCAAGTTATAAAGTGTTTTTACAGGTAGTTTATCCATCAGGTAGTTTATTCATCATCTCCTTTAACAGCTAGTTTATATTAGAGAGTAGTTTTTTAGCTTTTAAGTTATAAAGAAGAATATTCCTATTCCATTGTATGTTTTACAAAAAAATATTTTTATAGATCAATTTCAACTGAAAGGACTTTGATAAAGAAATTATTCTCAACAATTAAATCCACATTTTTTGTTTTTGTTTCTACCTGGCTATTTTGTATAAGCCTTGTAAGGATCTTAGTTTTTACATTTTAATTTTTTAAAAAGTTTATTATATATATATATATATATATATATATATATATATATATATATATATATATATATATATATATATATATATATATATATATATATATATATATATATATATATATATATATATATACATATATATATATATATATATATATATATATATATATATATATATATATATACATATATATATATATATATATATATATATATATATATATATATGTATATATATATGTATATATTTATATATATAATATATATATATATATATATATATATATATATATACATATATATATATATATATATATATATATATGTATATATATATGTAAATATTTATATATATATATATATAATATATATATATATATATATATATATATATATATATATATATATATATATACATATATATATATATATATATATATTGTAAGAATTGTGTTAACATTTCCAGTAAGAGTGTCAAGAGTTTCATTGAGTGGGTATAAGGTGGTTTATCGACAACTGCGTAATTGATTGGCATTTTCATGAGAAAATAAATTTTTACAGTCAGGTCAGGTTTATTCTGCTACTAGTAACATGTAACCCAGTACAATCTGCTTCATGTCCTACTGCCTTGTAGGATATGCCTTTTTAGGCAAAGGCTAGGAGATGCAAACTCTGACATAAAACACCCCCTGCCTTGGGGCTCTTGGTTGAGTAAAGGCTAGAGATGGTGTCTCGATAAAAATACTCATCTTGGGCAGATGTTACATGCATCCGGCTGCTGTCTTGTCGAAGGCCTCCTAGACAAAGACTTAAGGGGTAAACAGATTCTATCTGTTGAGCAGCCTCGCACCCCTTCGTCATCTATTAGGCTGGCGCAGATGTATTTTTAATACATTGTTTCCAGTTTAGGATGTTGAACGCTGGATCTTCTTGACTCGATTCATGGGTTTTGCTTGTGTCTCTGTTTTTATGACTAGGCAACTCATTCTATTATCTCCAAATGAGGGTACAGCTTTAAAACTCAGTTTTATGGTTCTGAGGCCGGCTGGTAGTCAGGTTTCCCGAACTCTGTGGTAGCTCTCAGAGAGGCTGATTCTATCAACAGCTGAAAAATATCAGAGTACTAACAGTGCCAAGTTGCGCATGGATGGTGTCCTGTTTGTACTTTTGGTGTGCATTGCCAAGGCCACATTGGAGCCCTTTGTTACGGCTTAGGGTTTATTAGTGGAAATGAGGCAATTGCTTGAGCTATAGAACAGTGTACTGAGTACTATCAATGTTTTGAGTCAAGTTCTTTAACAAATTTAAAAATGAATAAAGTAACAAAAACTATAAAACACAAAAAACCACAGTCATCACCAAGTTCGCTAAACCTATCATTCACTAATATTCGTGGTCTTCAAAGTAACTTTTCTTCTGTTGAGTCTTATCTCTTGCAAAGTTCACCAGACCTGCTTGCTCTTTGTGAGACTAATTTGAGTTCAGCTGTCTCATCTTGTGATCTTAGTGTTGATGGTTATCTTCCTTTAATTCGTAAAGACTCCAATAGTCACATGCTTGGCCTGGGCATTTACATTCGTAAGAATTCACCCATTTGTCGGGAAACTAGGTTTGAATCCACAGACTACTCTTTTATGTGCTTTCGTTCAGCACTACTTCACTCTATCACCTTTCTCTTTGTTCTATATCGCTCTCCCTCATCCCAAGACTGCACTCTTCTTGATGTTATTTCTGATTATATTGACCAAGCCCTCATTCTTTATCCATCAGCCAATATTGTTGTTGTCGGTGACTTTAATGTTCATCACACTGAATGGCTTGGCTCTAGTGTCAGTGACTCTGCAGGCATTAAGGCCCACAACTTTTGTCTTTCTCAATCCCTAACTCAAATAGTCAACTTTCCAACTCGCTTTCCAGACAACCCGAATCATTTACCTTCTCTACTCGACTTATGTCTTGTTTCTGATCCTAGTCAGTGTTCAGTTTCTTCACACTCACCCTTAGGTGCGTCTGATCATGGTTTGGTCTCTCTAAAACTATTATCTCATTCTTCTTTACCATTAGAATCCCCCTATCATCGTACATCTTACAACTACCTTAAGGCTGATTGGGACTCTTTTCGTGACTTTCTTCGTGATGGCCCCTGAGTAGAAATCTTTCGTCTCCCTGCTGACAAGTGTGCTTCTTACATGGCTTCGTGGATTCAGGCTGGCATGGAATCCTTTATTCCCTCTCGACGATTCCAGGTCAAGCCTCACTCTTCTCCATGGTTTTCCTCACATTGTGCTGCTGCAATTGCCAATCGAAACCATTACTTCCATATCTATCAGCAAAACAATTCTCCAGAAAACAGACCTCTCTTTATTACTGCTAGGAACCATTGTAAAAAGGTTTTGTCTAACGCCAAAACCCGCTATTCTCAGATCATGAAATCTCGTATTTCATCACAAAAATTAGGTTCTCGTGACTTCTGGAGAATCTTTAATAGTATCAATAATAAGGGCAAGTCTGTAATTCCACCTCTTTGGTACGGTTCAGACTTTGTCACCTCACCTAAAGACAAAGCTGAATTGTTTGCCAAGAACTTTTCATCAATATCATCTCTTGATGCCACTAGTTGTGTTTTACCTGATATACCCGTCAAACAGGTTGATCCATTGCTCGACATTCGTATCACTCCAGCTTCTGTATCTAAAGTGATTTCCTGCTTAGACTCTTCTACAGCTTGCGGCCCGGACAACATACCTGTTATAGTCTTGCAGAAGTGTTCTCCTGAGCTGTCGTCTATCCTTTCAAAACTATTCAACAAGTGCTTATCAGAGTCTTGTTTTCCAGCCTGCTGGAAAGCAGCATCTGTTATCCCTATTTTTAAAAATTCTGGAGAGCAATCTGACTCATCTAACTACCGTCCCATTAGTCTTCTTCCTATCATAAGCAAGGTTTTTGAATCTTTAATTAACAAACACTTAATCTCTCATCTTGAATCTCATAACCTACTTTCTGATCATCAGTATGGATTTCGATCTTCTCGTTCTACGGCTGATTTGCTATCAGTAATAACCGATAGGTTTTATCGCGCATTAGATAAAGGTGGAGAGGTTAAGGCCATTGCTCTTGACATTTCTAAAGCGTTTGATAAAGTTTGGCATGCTGGTCTCCTCCATAAGCTTTCTTCTTATGGTGTATCTGGAAACATCTTTAAGATTATTGAATCTTTCCTTTCCAATCGTAGTATTAAAGATGTCCTTGATGGACAGCACTCTTCTTCTTATTCTGTAACCTCAGGAGTTCCCCAAGGTTCAATTCTTGGCCCTATACTCTTTTTAATTTACATTAACGATCTTCCAGATATTCTCACTTCTAAGATGGCATTGTTCGCTGATGATACCACCATTTATTCTTGTCACGATAAGAAGCCAACTCCCTCTGATTGCTTGCAGGGGGCATCTGAGCTCGAAAAGGATCTCACTTCTGCTACAGCATGGGGCTCGCAGTGGCTGGTGAACTTTAATTCAGATAAAACTCAATTTTTTTTGACTCATATTTTTTCGTTATCACAATAATTTAGACCTTCCTATATTTATGAACGGTAATGTACTTGATGAGTCTCCTACCCTTCATCTTCTAGGATTAACTCTTACTTCTGATCTTTCTTGGAAACCTTATATCAAATCCGTTGCAAAATTATCGAGCTCGTCACTTTCTTACTCTGGATTCTATTCTCTATCTCTATAAATCTCAAATCCGGCCTTGTATGGAATACTGTTGCCATATCTGGGGCGGATCTTCTAATAATGCCCTTTCTCTTTTAGACAAGGTGCAAAAACGCATTGTAAACATAGTTGAACCTGCTCTTGCAGCCAACCTTCAACCTCTGTCACATCGTCGTAATGTTGCTTCTCTTTCTCTTTTCTACAAATACTATGATGGGCACTGCTCTAAAGACCTAGTGTCTCTTGTGCCATCTACTAAAATTCATTCTCGTGTTACTCGTCATTCAATTAAGTCTCATCCTTTTTCTGTTACTGTTCCTAAGTGCTCCAAAAACTCTTATTCGTCTAGCTTTTTTCCTCGAACATCAGTTCTTTGGAATTCGCTTCCTTCATCTTGCTTTCCTGATTCATATAATTTGCAATATTTTAAGTCGTCTGTCAATCGTTATCTTGCTCTACAATCTTCATCTTTTCTCTTCCAGTAACTTCCAACACTAATTAGTGGTTGCTTGCAACCTTGTTGGAAGCGAAGATAATTAAAAAAAAAAAAAAAAAAAAAACTTTTATTATGAGAAGTAATAATATTCATAATATTTGGAAGGCAGCTATGTACAAATGTAAACAATTTCACGAAGAAGAAGGGTATTATTATATTGGGTTTACTGAAGAAAATTTCAAAGACAGGTGGTATAAACATAAAAACTATTTGGTTTATGAAAATAAGGCCAACTCTACTGAACTTTCAAAATTTGTGTGCAAATATAAAAATATGGCTTTAGAACCTATACTAAAATGGAATGTTGTTGATCAAGCGACGCTATTCAAACCTGGTGGTAAATTTTGCAATATATTCTTGACAGAAAAATACCATATTATTACATCACCATTAAATTTGCTTAATAAATTAACCGAATCTGGTTATGTAATTGAGATATATTTTAATAGTTATTTAGTTTTCACCATATATATATATATATATATATATATATATATATATATATATATATATATATATATATATATATATATATATATATATATCAGGGTGTCCCTTATATAAGCAAAAAATTTTTTTGGATTTTCAAAATGCATACCCCTATTTCTTTTTAAACTATCTAACTTTACTTAAATCTAAAATTTTATCTTTGTATGACAACAATAACACATGCCAACAGATCTCTGAAGATTTTGAAAATTGCTGTTTTTAATTCTTCCCGCTATGTAGCTAAATCAATTGGAACATTTATATAATTATAAGATATTTATTAAAAGAATATAAAGTTACAGATAAAGCAGGATATTTTTTTAATAACCAAATAACCTAACAAAATCTAGATATAAGACGCAATTAAAATATGTCTCAAATATAGATTTTTTTAACATTATGCGTCAGTTTACACTTTTTAAAAAGTTGCACTTTTATAAGTTAAAAAAAATACCCAATTGCGACGTAACTTTGATAATTTTTTTTTCATGACAACTTTCTTTAAAAAAATAAATTTAAAGTAACCAATATAATAGACTTACTTAAATACAAAGTTTTATCTTCCTATAACAAAATTAATGCATGCCGACAGAACTCTGAAGATTTTGAAAATTGCTGTTTTTAAGC